AAACACTTGCATATAACCCACACATACTCCCATATACCTATACTTATGCCTAGATTACTTATACTACCTAATATATAAATGCTGTTTAAAAAGTTATGAGTATTGTTTAGGAAATAACAAGTCAAAGTTTGTATATGTTCAGTACAGATACAATTTTTTTCTTTTCAAATATTTTTATGTGTGGTTGGTAGAACCTATAGATGCAGGATAGAGAATGACTATATATTTTTAGACAAGTGTATAATGAGAAGGTGTTGTATAGGGATATAATAAAGATACTTATGCAGTCAAGTGAGAGCTACCCTTTCTTGGTGATGAAGTCCTGTGCGGAGCCTTGAATATTTTATAACCGTGCTATTCAGAACATGGTCTTTAGATGCAGGTGCATAGCACCAATACCCCCTGGGAGTGTGCAGTGCATGGTTCCAGGCTCCACCCTGGACCGCCTAGATCCACTCATGGAGTTTTGCAGGATCTTCAGGTGATTGGTTGGCATGCTAAACATGTGAGACAGGCACTTTCCAGAGATCTCTCTGGCCCCTTTTCATTAATTGGGTTAAATATTTAGAAAAGAGTTTACTATCTATGAATTACTTTGTTTTTGTTTATTTGGTTTTTAGGCTATATTTATGAACATGAATTACTTTTGGCATTTTCTGCAATAATTTATTCAAGTCTTTCTCTTCTTGCCTTTCTTTCTTTCTTTCTTTCTTTCTTTCTTTCTTTCTTTCTTTCTTTCTTTCTTTCTTTCTTTCTTTTTCTTCTCTTTTTTTCTGCTTTGAGGCTACCAGTGCTAGCTGCTTTAGAGAAAATTATATACTGACATCAACTGTGTGGACACATCTACCTACATAAATTGTAACTGGGGGTTTGTCCTTAAAAAAAGTATACAGCATGCTCCAAAGCTCTGGGTGTAATTGTGGCATGCAAAGCTGACAAACTATTTTACAAAAGAGACCTGAGAAATACGACATTTTCACCACTAGGTGGAACTAGAGTAATTTTGAGTACATTTTTTTCAGGGGCATGAACTATGACTGCTGGAGTATCTCATAAACTGAAAAAGTTGAAGAAGTTAGTCAATCTAATTCTCATCACCTTAAATTCACAGTTAGTAAAACTGCTATTTAATTACATTAAATTAAAATCGCATCTGTTTTATAATCTAAAGATACTAGACGAATAATTTCTGGAAATTCTTGACTTTTCAGTCTTTTTTTTTTTTTTTTTTTTTTAAATGTGTTTACTACAGGGTTTCACTACGAAGCTCAGACTTGTAGTGATCCTCCTGTTTTGTTTTCAGCCTCCCCAGCACTAGGATTACAGGCCTGCGCCCCCACGCTGTCTTGATGGCCAGCTCAGCACGCCCAGGCAGGAGACCGGCATGGCATGTGGTGCAGGGGTTTGAACCCTAGTGCCTAGTCCTCTCAGCTACCTCGGAGGCCTGGCTTTTCAGTGATTTTCATATATTAGAATCATCTGTCATTGTCTTCCAGCATGAGGGGAGATATATTACCTGTATTACCTATGTGCTATTATGAAAATAGTTACTAATGTTTTTTACTGCTACAAGTTTTAGTTATTAGTTACTAAGGTTCATAACTATATGCTAAAATAAAACTGTTGTTGATTATAACCAAACATGATCATGTGAAAATTGCCCTGTATTTTTCCAATGAAGAAATAATCACCATAAAGACACATAAGTCTTCAATTAGACTCATTATTATAATGTTTTTGGTTTTTAAATCCATCTTTGATTCAAGTTAAGTAACCCAGAACAAGGGTTTAGTTAGCAAGGTAAATAGGTAAGCAGGGCTTGAAAATATCTATCTATCTATCTATCTATCTATCTATCTATCTATCTATCTATCTAGATATCTGTCTGTCTATCTAGATATCTATCTATTCATCTATCTGTATGTGACTGGAGTAGGTTATTTTTTTTCCCCCAGAACTGGGGATTGAACTCAGGCCCTTGTGCTTGCCAGGGAAGCACTTATTCCACTGAGCCATCTCCCAGCCCCCGAGTAGGTTATTTCTAATAGCCTTAAACTCTTATATTCAGAGTCTCTTCCTTTCTTAAAAATCATGGTCATGGAACACCTATATTACTTATGTGCTGTTATTTAAAAAATGATGGGCAGAGTTAATGTTCATAATTTTTTCTGATGTAATACTATTTTATACTCTTCAAAAAATAAAAAATAAAAGAGAATAGAATAAAACAGTTGGATGATAATGGTGATGGTGGTGGTGGTGGTGGTGGTGGTGGGGTGTGTGTGTGTGTGTGTACTTCAGATCATCAGATGAGGCATCTGGACAAAAGGCTTTCAGAGTGTTTCTAGAATGGTGGAGCAAACTCCATAGCCTTTTTTTCCACAGGAGACACTAACAGGAATTCTGGATTTATCCCTTTCTAAGGTACACTTAATCACATTCCTGCCTATCACAGCAGTGAGTATGTATAAAAATTGTTTCAATAATGCCTCAGAGTTAAAAGCTATTTCTCAAGTCCTAGTATCTAGTACTCTAATGGTGCTCTTCTTTTGACATTTCTGAAACATGGCTGATTTTGATGAGCTAAAAGTTAATACCCAGTACTGAATCCTGGCTAATATCATATTACCATGTTGATATAATATGTTGAAGCAGCTCATTAAAAGTTGGAATCCAAGCATGCAGAAGCTGCCCCAAGCGGGGCAGAAGCCAGACACTCAGCACAGAGCTCACGATCCACTGAGCTCCCCCAGGATGTCTGCTAGGCGGGAGAGTCTCAAGTGTGGGACCTGTGGGGTCAGGTCCTTACTGGGACAACCACATGGCCTGAGTCACTCAGTATATAAATGCCACCACAAGGAAGCCTGGGGTGAACCGAATATTAGGGCAAGGCCTTGTAATAAAAGGGATGCAGTGCAGGTGAGGAAATGTCCCGTGGCACTCTGGGAGATGGCAGACCAACCTCAGATTTCAATTGTGTTAAGGATGATACAACAAGTGTCTTGGCATGTTTGCTGTAGCCTCTGCTCTCAGCCCCATTCCAAGGACAGTCAACAAAAGGCAGGCAGGTGTGGTCCTATTTCACAAGGCGTTGTATGAGAAAGGGCCAATGGAGATTCTGGTTCTACAACTGAGCGGACTTTCTTGATTTCTTTTGAAAAACTGAGATAACACTCCGTGAAAGTTTAGTGGGGATTACTGTTAATGGGTATAAGCACATGGAAGCACAGAATTCAACATTTTAAAGCTGCTGAATAAGCTGCTATCTCCATGAGAACAGCTGGCCTGGGTGGAGCTTCCTCAGTTACTTGACTCATGGTCCCAGGAGCACAGAGCAAGATATTGCAAAAAGTGCAATGCTTTGCACACAAGCATAGAGCAGTACTGGGGCTGGGAGTAGTAACAAGGAAACTCCGTGGAGTCTGAAGACACAGGAAACTGTGAAGAAGCCCTCAAGGGCTCAATCAGATGGGTATCGAGGTTCAGGACACAACACCCCAATATATTGCTGTAGGAAACCAAACGTGCCACCCAAAATATACTTCTTTAGCATATTTCAGATAGTTTCCCTGAGAAACTGAAGGCACAGGAGCAGTGTTCTTTTGCAAAAGAAGCTTACGTGTATGGAGGAAATCTCTACTATGAAGGCACAGATATCCCTTGCATTAGAATGGCGTTACCTCTGGATAAATCTATCATAAACTGAAAATCTGGTAAGCTATAAATGTGTGTAATATATCTAACCTACAGAACATCCCAGCCTAGCCGATTTTAAATATGCTCAGAAATGTATCAGCTTACACTAGGGCAAAATCGTCTAAGACAAAAGCAAATTGACAATAAGGTGTGGATTATCTCATGCAATTTATTAAATACTCTATCAAACGTGAACTAGAGAATGGCTGTGTGAACATGGTTTCTTTAACAATTTTTATTCTTGAAATCTTAATCTGCATAACAAGATAACCTTTATTCACCGTATAGGTTCCCTGGCACCCTCCCCTAACTTGTGTCTTCACTATCTCCAAAAGCTCCAAACCCACTTTCTACAGCTCAGAATGCTATCTAAACTTCAATTATTTTACCCTTCTTGATGGCTTGTATTTTGTGGGACTCTGCACATCAAGAAGATGAATTTTTCCCCCCCTTTAATGTCTCTTATGCTAATTTAACTCACAACCAAGCCATTTTTCACTTCCCTATAAGGAAATAAGAACTAGCCTGACGTTTTTGACCGTCAGTGACAGTCAAACAGAAACTTCCTACAGAAGTCTAGTTTAGAAACTGAATTTCCTGAGTCATCTCCACCTCATCTAGCAGCTTCTGGAAAATAGACTAGCTTGGCTCTGGTCTACACTCACCTGGAAGCCCTACGGAGGCCTGGGTAGCCTGAGGGTGGAGAGAGCAGGTGCTTTCAAGAGGGCGTGGGAAGCAGGGTGTTGGCTCAAGTTTGTAATCCCAGCGGAAGGATCACAAATTCAGGCTCAGCTTGGGAAATTTAGTAATATGATGAGATTGTCACAAAGTTAAAAAAAAAAAAAAAAAAGATTGGGGATCTGGCTCACTGCGAAGGCCCTGGGTTCAACCTCCAGTGCTGGAAATAATAATAATAATAATAATAATAATAATAATAATAGAGGCAAAGCAATAGCTTTCAAACAACTCCCCCAACAGGCCCATTGCGCTTGGAGAGGACCCCGGATTCCTCCGGGAAAGAAAGCACAGACTGGTCCTCTGGGTGGTCCCCTCAGGCCTCCCGGGCGCGCGGAGGCGTCAGATCGGACAGCGGCGGGCGTGCGGAGCGGCGTGGGGCGCGCCGGGCCAGTCTGAGCGTGAGGTAGGCGCCGGAGCAGACAGGCAGGTGGAGCCGGTTCGCACCTCGCGACCCGCTAACCGGTAGGGGCGGGGGCGTGGCCGGAGGGGCGTGACAGAAGGGGCGTGGCCTGAAGGGGCGCCTCCCATTGGCCGCCCGGCGCCGCCTCGCGCCGCCGCGCTTATAGAGCGGCCCGCGCCGGAGCCGCACAGCACGCTGCCGCGCTGACAGCTCTGCTCCCGGATCCCGCGCCCGATCCCGCTATGGCCACCGTGCAGCAGCTGGTAGGAAGATGGCGTCTGGTGGACAGCAAAGGCTTTGATGAATACATGAAGGAGTTAGGTGAGGCACCGCGCTCGGAGGACCCGAGGAGGGCGCGCTGGATCCGCAGCGTGCGCGGCGCTGCTGCCCGGCCCCTGCGCCCGGCTCCTCCTCGCATCGCCCCTGCCCAGCCAGGTCCCCGGCGCAACGCGCGGCAGTGGCTGGGAGAGCGGGGCGTGCGCGCCTCCGCCGCCACACGGGGATGTGCCGCCTCGTGGTCCGGCCGGCTCCCCTCTGCACAGCGGCCCGCGCTGCTTCCCGCCGGGCGTCCGCACGCTCGCCCCGGCCCAGGCCGCGCATCTTCCCGCCCCCACCCCCCGCGGCACCATCCGGTCTCCTGCGTACTCAGTCCAGGCAGCGCCCACTCCCCTGCTCCACCGGGCCGCGTCCTTTGTTCCTCGCTGGCGCGCATGGCCCCCTGCCTTCTCTGCGAGGTCGCGGCGTGGCAGGGTTAGAGATTTCCTGTAGCTCTGAAAGGGCTTCAGCTTTGGCTCCCTGGGTCCTTTGCCCACTCCCGCCCGGTGGCTGACACGTGGTGCAGACAGCACTGACCACCTGCTGGCACGACCCAGCCTGTGTCCGCAGTAGGGCTGGGCTTTGAGGAGAGCAGCGAGAAGAAGCCTCCCTGGGTTGTCTGCCATCCGTGTGCTACTCTTACCTCTGGGACTGGAGGGTGAGGGGCCAGGAGACAGCGGGCTTGGATGAAAAGCTAAGTTAGAAACTGCTGGCATGCGGCTGCTAACCACTGCAACGTGGGTGTGGCCCTGCAGAAAGCATTTGACTTCTTCAAGACTTCCAAGAAAGAGCCTCCTTAGAAAGATTTAGGTTCTTTTTCTTACTTTAAGTGGTGTGTCATTTCCTACTACTGTCTTTTCCTAAACCAGTGCAGCAGTTGCACGCTGGTTGAGACTCTGGACAGACAGCAAACAAGAGTGGACTTTTGGCCCAGGCCACTAAAAAGCGAGTGGGGTTAGCATAGCATGGATCCCCTCTGCCAGGGGCTTTCCATCCTCAAGGGACTGCTAGGAGAAGGAGACCACTTGAGAAGCCGGCGGCTCTCTGGTTGGCACTAAGTGACTCTCCACTACTGAGACCCTGTCACTGGATACTAGCCTGTATCCAAGACAGCGCAGCATGGGTTTAGGGTCAGTATGTAGAGAATTAAGAGTGTGTTACCATACACCAGTAGACCAGAAATACAGCATTTTTTTTTTCCCACACCAAGATGACCCTGAGAAAAGCTGTTTACTATACTCGTCAAAGACATAGGATTTTTGTACTGCCCAGGTGTGAGGACCACGTAGGTAGAGAGCAGTTTCTCTGCCCACTGAGAGCAGATGTGTGCTAGGCTAGGAGCTCTGGCAACATGATGTTGTCTAGGCTCAACTCTTTTAAGGAACAATCACCATATGGAAAGAAATGTGTGGCCCATTTATTTGCTCAGAATAAGCAAATAATGACTCAACTAATAAGCAAGGTATTCTGAGCTGGCAAGAGACAAGGCTCCAAGGGGAGCCAGGAAAACTCAGTCCTGCTGTATGTTGTAGTTTCACTTGAAATCGGGGTTTGGCCTGCATCTGAGGTCCCTTATGAATGTTGGCCCAGAGGGGAAATATACAGGTTATAAAGTATTATTTTTTTTAACAATTTTGTTGAGAAAGAAGTAGCAATGAGACAGTTTCAAAACAGGTTAATAGGACAGTTACAGTAATTAATATATTGCATATTGTTGTCGTTGTAGTTATTTGTAGTACAAGATGCAGAAAAAGACTTTTTTGTTTGTGGTACCAGGGATTGAACTCAGGACCTTGTGCTTGCCAGGCAAGCGCTTATTCTGTTAGCCATCTCCCTGGCCCTATAAATTAATATGTAATTTAATAATGTGGAATTCCATGGCTGTTTACTGTAGCAATGGACAGGCTGCAAAAAGCAACAGTCAACCTTAAGATATTCAGATAGACTGTGTTTTAAGTAAGCAGCACACAATCACAGTGACAGAAGTGGGAAAAAATTACCCACAAAATAGTAGCTGGGTGTGGTGGCACATGTCTCTAATCCTAGAACTCACGAGGCTGAGGCAGGAGCATTGCTCAGAGTTTGAGGCCAGTATGGGCTACATACAGAGTTCAAGGCTATAAAAAAAACTTTAAAGCAAAATGAATATCATGTATCTTTGATATATTTTCTGTTTTCCAGGGTAAGAGTATTTCCATTCATTAATATCATGATTGTGCTATGAAATCAAAACGTTGTACTACTTGAATGTCTAGCACAATGAGGGCTGATTTTTTTATTTTGTGCAGCCAATTAATTATTTCTTAGGGGATTTTCATATGTGAGTCTGTGTATTAAAGTTGGAATATGGTTGGCAGAATCCATTGTATAGGAAAAAACTGAGCTAGCTTCTGAGTTTGCAACTTTGAATCCTTATCTTTAGCTTCTGTCAACTGCTTTGAGTAAGTGAAGTTAAGGAGTGAAGTTTGGCTGACTTTCTCAAGGCCAGCATGGCATGATAGCCCCAAGCTGAGATTTGAAGCCTGGTCGTTTGTGCCGTTGTTTCCTAGCAGAATGAACTCCAGTCAGTTCACTTCAGTGCCTGCCCCACTGTCAGTAGAGACAGAACTTATCCTCTGTGCTCAGGATTGCTGGGAGGCTTAGGTCAATTAATATGCACAAGGTCCTGCATGCAATTAAGTGAAAATACAGCAGGCATAGTGATTAAGGTTAAATTACTGCTTTTATTATGCAAGTTATGGCTGGTTTTCTGTTGTTTAACATGATGTACTATCCACAGGAGTGGGAGTAGCTATGCGAAAAATGGGCGCAATGGCTAAGCCAGATTGTGTCATCACTTGTGACGGCAACCACCTCACCGTTAAGACCGAGAGCACCCTGAAAACAACACAGTTTTCTTGTAATCTGGGAGAGAAGTTTGAAGAGACTACAGCTGATGGCCGAAAAACTCAGGTCAGCCAAACCATGTTGTGAAATCACTGAAGCTTCTAGGATGATAGGGTGTATTGTAACATTTTTATTGCTTGCAGTCAAAACCTTAGTGAAAAAGTTATTTTCTGAGTTGAGTTTTGACAAACTAGTAAGAGGACTTGCTTCACGGAGTGTGCTTTATGAGCTTCTCAAACGAAAAGCACAAGCTATTTTGTGTGTTAAATCAGTGCAATTGACAAAATAGACTCAGAAAAGTTGTTAGCTTCGAGAATGAATAAGCTCAGTTCAATGAGCAGAGAAAAAGTTGATTAAAGACGTTCTGAGTCATGGAAATGTTGGTGATGGCCTTTGGAAGGTTAAAGGTATCTTTATTTTTGCAGACGGTCTGCGCTTTTAAAGATGGTGCGCTGGTTCAGCACCAGGAGTGGGACGGGAAGGAGAGCACGATAACCAGAAGGTTGCAAGATGGGAAGCTGGTTGTGGTAAGTGTCGGGCTGTCTTCTGTGTTACTGGGTCTCTTGCCTGGGTGCCTAGTTCCATAGCTGCTCTCTGTTGTTGGCTGTGAGCAGGAGAACCATGGTTGGGAAGGAAAAAAAATACAGACTAAAAGTTAAATGCAAGGGCACTGGTGAGCAAAGGCGCCCCTTGCTAGTGTAGCTGACGATGGAGCTGCAGCTGGGCTTTGTCCTTCCTGAGCGTTGCTGTGGATGTCATTGTGGGAGGCCACCAAGCTGCCCTGTTGGGCATGCATACGGTTTTCCATTTCTTTAAAATGAGTAAATTTGCCAAGACCAAATGAGTAATTTTAGTACTATCTGCAACACTTTGGGTCTCATCCAAACAATAGGACATAGCTCATCTCAAAACCTGAAACCCTAAACATGTTTTCTCCATCTGTGGGATAGATTATAAGGTTGTGTGGGATACTGAACCTAACATTTCACTACTTACTCACCCGTGCTCTGAACTGAGACAAGTCTTAACTCTAATACCTTTTCTGTCTCTTAGGATTGTGTCATGAACAATGTCACCTGTACCCGGGTCTACGAGAAAGTAGAATAGGTATCCCATCATCACTTGGACAGGAATTAGCTTCGAGAATGAATAAGCTCAGTTCAATGAGCAAATCTCCATGCTTTTTTTTTTTTTTTTGTCATTATTTTGATCAATTACCTTTATCACAAGCATTTCACATACAACTATTTCAAAGTGTTGATTTCACCAGGATCATCTCTTTGGTTAGTAAATAAATAAATGTGTTTATGCTAATGAGTGTTGTTCATATTCCTTAATGCTGTAGGAAATTAGTGATACATTTAAGTAACTAGAAATTTAATAAATTCTCGGTACACTTGAAGCTGTTACTCTGAAATTATATCCAAGTGATTTATATGTAGAACTACTTTTACAGCAAAATGCCAGTTATTTAAGTTTGCTCTATCACAGTGATGGTGGACCTTTGACGTGCCTGCCACAGTAGACTGTTTGTTTCATTAAAAGCCCTGAAAACTTCACCATCACTGTTTTGTCATATGTGGAAATTGTATCACATCAAGAATTTTACATTTCTGGTAGAGAATTTTTTATTGAAATGTAGCTATAGAAACTTTATAATTTCAATATTAGACTCAAGGGCTGGGGAGATGGCTCAGTAGAATAAGCACTTCTCTGGAAAGTGCAAAGGCCTGAGTTCAATCCCCGGTTCCGCAAAAAAAAAAAAAAAAATCAATATTAGACTCAAGATTAAATTACCGTATTTACTTAAGCCATACTTCAAATGGTGTCCTTCCAACTACAGCTGAACTAAAAATCCCAGAATTGCAAAAAAGAAAAAAACAAAAAAACCCCAAAACTTGTGTTTCATTCCTCAGCCGCAAAGACAAATAGCCACTCACATCTGAGAAATAGGTTGATGGCAATGGGCCAACACGTCATGTACATGACCCTCAGCAACATTAAAGGGACTGGCTCTGTTATCTCTGTCTACAAATAAGAGAATGGGTGCTTGTTTAGCTAGCTTGTTCAAGGACACAGGAAATAGTAGAGCTGGATTGTGAAACTGTCTTGTTATGGCCACTTAATGTATTTAATCATTCTACAATGCTGCTTCTTAGGAGCTTGTGCAAAGAACCTGAGACTAAAGTCTGTAAATGTTCTGAGACTAAAACCATCTTCCTGCGTTGGATGTCAGGACTGAGAAGTCTGTAGAGACCGCAAAGACTTAGTGTGAAAATAAAATGCCTCCATGAATTTTTTATATTGATATGTAAACTTTGAGTAGTTAATAGTTCGTTACCTACTTAGGTGTTAGCAAGATTTTTACCTTAGTAGTAAAATTAGATTACTTTCTAATCTCTTCAAGTGTGGCTAGGAGAAAAATGAGGCATTGCATATGCTTGCAATTTTGCACCCATATTTGATTGGACAGTTCTGTTTTAGGCTCCCTTTTTGTATGAATTATTATCTTGCTCTTTTTAGAGTCCATGCTGGGGTTCCCTCTAGCTTTTCTGCGTCTGATAATGTTGGACATTCTTCTTGATTCAGACATCGAGCCAAGTCCTTGAAGCATTTATAATTCTCACAACCATCCTAGGTGACGTGTGTTAAACATGGTTTTCCTTACAAAGATGAGGAAACTAGCCCTGAGTATAGGCAGTAGTCTCAAGTCAAGCAGCAAGTACAAGTAGTAGGACAGGCAGGAACAGCAGGTTATCTGACCACAACCTGGGCCACCACGGACCATGTTTTAATGTCCATGTTGCTTCATTCTATGGGCTGTGAGTATTGCTTGAGGGACAGTAGGCCAAAGTTCCTCCCTCAACCCAGTTGTTGACATTTTGGTATTTGGATTGTGGCAAGCATCACTAGACTCTTAACCCAAGAGTATGGCCAAGAAATGTCCATGGCCCTCGCCATTCTACCCCAAATATTCCACACATTTCCAGATGTCTTCTAAGGGGAGGGAACCATACACCAAGTTGAACACCAGGGGATAGAACCAGAGTATCCTACTTTTATGCTACCTGGTATCAACTTTTCCTACCTCTCTGTCCTTTCATGATTGTCACCTCATCAAAAGTCGTAACTCCAAAAATTGACTATATTTCCTCTGAACTGCTAGTATGCTGGAATATATTATGTTGACTTCTACGGAACACAAGTTCTCCTGGAAGCTTCATTTTTACCTTTAACTTATCAGATTGATTTCTGTCCTGTGCTTCAATGCTTTGTGGCCGATAACCTATAGGATATTTCAAACATATACTAGAAGAAAAGATAGTCCTACCAAACATTTTATGAATGTCTCATTAGAAGCTCTTTTAATCTTTCTAAAATACCTATGTTTGGTTTGTAACTGTGGATGTGGATGGACTGGGATGCTAAACTAATGCTTTCAAAAATTAAATTTCTTTTATTCTGTATCCATTCCTCTTGTAACATTCTCTATTCCGAACAAATGGAATGCCACTTTGCCAATTTCCAGGATAAGTGCCTCGGGGTAATCTTTGATTTATATCTTTCACATCACATGTTGAATCCATTAACAAATTATTTTAATTTTACTTCCAGAATATATCTAGAGTTCACCTGCGCTCCCTTCCAACACAACCCTGGTCCAAATAATACCGTTTCTGCTCTCCCTCTGCCTGTCTGCCCTCCCGGAAGCTATTGTTTTAAAAACAAACTTGAATGCAGACATTCTTCGATTCACAGTAGGGTACATCCTCGTGAGTCCATTGCAGGTTGAAAATATAAGTCGAAATGCATACAGTACACTTAAGTTAGGGTGCAACACACACTGTATCAGTTTACCCTTTTAAGCCCAGGAGCTACAGCTTACTGCTGCTGCATCCCGAGTCTCCCACCATGTAGCTACACAGTAGAAAGGTCACAATTAAAAAGTTGAAATATGGTTTCTATTGAAGGTGTATGGCTTCGGTACTGCCATGAAGTTGAAAAATCATACATCAAGCCCGTGTAAGGAAGAGGTCATTTAGCTGTCACTTCTCTTGCTGAAAATTCCCCATTGGTTTCTCACTGCAGAGGGAATAGAAGCCAAAGCTTTTACAGGCCCTACATGAGTTTTTGCATCATCCAACCCCCAACACCTCCTGATACCACCTCTGTATCAGCCTCCTCTAGCCTCACTGACCACTGATGAGACAGGTATGCTCTGGCTTCAGGATCTTTGTACTTCCTGTCGGCCTCTGCTAGAACAGTGCTCCCCTCGGGTTCTGCAGCTCAGTGTTCTTCCTTCATTCTGTTTTCTCAAGTGTGCCCTCGCAGGCTTTCCCAGACCACCCTGTGCATCGTGGCTCCCAGACCCTCTCAGTTCCTCTCCAATGGCCACACCAATCCTGACTCACTGTGTACTTAGTTTCCAAATTGTTTTTGGTTATTATCTGTCTCCCCAACTGGACAGTAAGCTCCACGGAGAAGGAACTATTCTTACAGGAGCTGTTCTTAGTCTCTCCTCTGTCTCTGTCTCTGTCTCTGTCTCTGTCTCTGTCTCTGTCTCT